CCACTATCCCCATTTTCTCTACTATCCCTAGGTCCATAAATCCCCACTATCCCCATTTTCTCTACTATCCCTAGGTCCTTAAATTCCCACTATCCCCATTATCCCTACTAAACTACTATCCGTAGGTCCTTAAATCCCCACTATCCCCATTTTCTCTACTATCCCTAGGTCCTTAAATTCCCACTATCCCCATTTTCTCTACTATCCCTAGGTCCTTAAATTCCCACTATCCCCATTTTCTCTACTATCCCTAGGTCCTTAAATTCCCACTATCCCCATTATCCCTCAAATCGCCAGGAATCTCCACAAATCCTGCACGTGCCAATCTTTGACTCTGCGTGCTGACCTCTGAACCTATATGCCGACCTCTGACCTCTGACCACTGACCTCTAATTCTATGTGCTGACCTCTGACCTTATATGCTGACCTCTGACCTCTGACCTCTGACCTTGCTTTGCTTGCAGGAGGGCTGGCTGGCGTCGGGCAACGTGCGCGGCGTCGTCGGTGTCACGTTCACCGCCTGCCACTGTAGGGCGCCACTCGACCCGCCGCCGCGCATGAACTTCAACCTTCGCGGCCATCGCTCCGAGGTGAGTCTGACCGCACAGGTGGCGCCGCGTGCGCTCGCCGTGCCCAGCAGGTGGCGCCGTGTTAGATAAATTCACTACAGGTGGCGCTGCCTGCATTTGTTGCGCCCCACAGGTGGCGCTATGTTAGATAAATTATAGGTGGCTGTTCTGTGGGGGTAAACGCTGACACGGTTTCGCCCATACTTAAGCGTCATCCGCAATACACGTGACCGGTCTGTAGAGGTGAACNAATAGAGCTGATATATTATCGTATGTATGTATGATATAATGTAGCAGCGTATATCTAATAACTATACTATATATGTACTAATTATATTAATAATATATAATACCAGTGTATACAGGCATCACGAGTTAACACTAGAAATGTAAGCAGCTTGTGGCCAACTACATGTTATTCCCCGCGTTATCCTATATGAACTAGAATACTATCTGTAAGGAGGTAGAAGGCAGGTAAAGCGCTAAAATAATCACAGAGACAAAGGTTTGTTAGACAACTTCGTTGTGCCTCTCAGATGTGCAGAGATATGGATTCTGGTTACACTAGGCGGAGGCCGAACGAGGAAATGTAAGTCGACAGCGTCAAGGTCAAACTAAGTCTAAACGGGCAGTGCGCTTGTTTTTTGGTATGCGGCAGACCTGTCTCGCCCAAGGATGTGTAAGCCTAACAGAGTTTGTTGCGCAGCCTATCGGTCAATTTAGCGGGGCCAGAGTCGTAGTAGAGCAGAAGGGAGAATAATGATCAACCGTCCAATGTCAGAACAGGTCAGATAAAGGTCGGTCGCGAGTTACCTGGGTGCGGCAGTTTTACCCGATCCTCGGATCATTGCTTCAAAATTTGGGCATAAAGGTTGCGTCGTATGGCTAAGCGAAGCGCAATCTGTTTTTGCGTGTGGGCGGAAGTCATCGTTTGCCATCGGGTAGACAAACATTTTTGTGGAACATATTTGCTAAAACCGTGTAACTTGTCGCGTTTTTAGCCGATTGTCAGTGGATTTGGCACACTGAGCAGGCCGAGGTATTAACATGTCCTCGCATGAGCAATTCAATAAATGAAATATAAAATTTAAGATAAAATATTAATTTAATTGTAGAGGTGTGTGGTAGAATTTAAATCTAATTTTTAGATTTTAATCTTAAATGGTTTACCTACATCTAAACTTTTAATACAAATATAAATTTCGATGACACTCGCGGCTAAAACAACCAGCTGCGAGAGGTTACAGGTCGTAGAATATTTTCGACAAAAAATGTTCGCTGTTACCATGGGCGAACGATGAGCTATCCCTCCTCCTCACACCAAAAACAATATGGTTTTCTTCCGCTTTACGGATAACGCACTTTCATTCGAAATCTTAGATGATCCCCGAGACACGACTGCAGGCCGTAGCAAGCTGTTCACAAGGAAAAATCTTCTACTGCATGGCTGTGTGCGCCGCCGCGACACGGGCTGGGTGTGCGCGATGCGGGGCCAACTCAAAGATAGCACGGGCGATGTCGGCGGGCCTCGGTGAGCGGCGCACGACGAATGTCCCAAACCCATGGTATCCCCCAACGAACTGCTCGTTCGGGCTGCGATACCAATTAATTAGGCGATTGTGCTATACTCTAAGTAATGCATGTAGAATGTAATGGCTATATCCTATACTAATATATACAGATATAACTGTGGATAATCAATATATTATGAGTACTCAAAGTGTCATACACAGTATCAAGCAGCTAAACTGAGAAAAGTCTAGCAGTTGTCGCCAACTACATGAACTCCCCCCGTGGGAGTCTAGTATGAATAGAATGACCTCTCCGCTGTAAGCGCACCCCGCGGTAGAAAGAAACAGTGTAAAGTTCAAATAGTCAGCAAGACAGAATGTTTGTTGAGACAACTGGTGGTGCCTCAAGAATGTGCCACCTGGAAGTATAGTGGAATCTGGCTTCACCTAGGAGGATTTACTCTTGATACCGTCCGTATACACTGGTATTATATATTATTATATATTATTATATTATATTATATATTATTAGATATACATACATACATTAGATATACATAATCTCTATTATTTACTCTTGATACCGTATACACTGGTATTATAGATTATTATATATTATAATATTATATTATATTATATATTATTAGATATACATACATACATTAGATATACATAATCTCTATTATTTACTCTTGATACCGTATACACTGGTATTATAGATTATTATATATTAATATATTATATTATATATTATTAGATATACATACATTATACATACATACATTAGATATACATAATCTCTATTATTTACTCTTGATACCGTATACACTGGTATTATATATTATTATATATTATTATATTATATTATATATTATTATATTATATTATATATTATTACATATATTACATTAGATATACATAATCTCTATTATTTACTCTTGATACCGCCCGTATACACTGGTATTATATATTATTATATTATATTATATATTATTACATATATTACATTAGATATACATAATCTCTATTATTTACTCTTGATACCGCCCGTATACACTGGTATTATATATTATTATATTATATTATATATTATTATATTATATTATATATTATTATATTATATTATATATTATTATATTATATTATATATTATTATATTATATTATATATTATTATATTATATTATATATTATTATATTATATTATATATTATTATATTATATTATATATTATTAGATAAACATACATCTATACAGATACCATAATACATTAGATCATACATAATTCTCTATCTATGCTACTCTTGATGCCGTATACACTGGTATTATATATATTATTATATATTATTATATTATATTATATATTATTAGATATACATACATTATACATACATACATTAGATATACATAATCTCTATTATATGTACTCTTGATGCCGTATACACTGGTATTATATATATTATTATATATTATTATATTATATTATATATTATTAGATATACATACATTATACATACATACATTAGATATACATAATCTCTATATATGTACTCTTGATGCCGTATACACTGGCTAGTGGCACTCGACAGCTCTTCTCGACAGTTATAATTATCGATTGTCACAGATGGCGCGTAGGGAGGGGAGGCAATTAGTGGCGTAGGGAGGGAGGGAGGGCATTAAACTCTGGCGGGAGGAGCGGAGGAGGAGAGCTGGAGGTCATGCGGAGGTCACGCCGCGTCAGTGCGCGAGCGAATCTGTACGTGAGCGTTGGTTGCTAAGTATGACGAGCAGGCGGGTGGGGGGGGGGGGTATCCATGCTGCTCTCTCTCTCTCTCTCTCTCTCTCTCTCTCTCTCTCTC